AAGACTGGACACGTAAAGAAGAAATGTGCTAAATATCATGTTTGGCGTGAAAAGAAAGGGTTGTCTAAACTACCGGAAGCCAATTGATTCTGAAAGATGAATTTATGTTGGAGATGGCAAATCGATAGAGGTGGAAGCTATAGGGCATTTTAAATTGTTATTGAGTACTGATTTTTTATTTGGATTTGAAATACACTTGTGTTGTGCCGTCATTTAGACGGAATTTGGTTTTAGTTTCTTATTTGGACAAATTAGGTTATTTGTGTTCATTTGGAAACAATAAGTTCAGTTTGTCTTTTTATTCAGATATTGTTGGAACTGGTTCACTTTTGATTTAGGATAATCAGTATTTACTTGATATTGTGGTCACCTATAATGAAACCCTTAATACAGAATCACGTGGTACTAAACGTAAAATTGAAAATACTCACTCAGGTGCATTATGGCACAAGTGCTCAGGTCACAATCAAATCGTGACGTTTGGGCTTGTGTTACACTCTTAAAGATATGGTAGAGAGTATGATTTGTCATTCCACCTTACTGGAATCACTTTGGGGAGAGACATTAAATACGACAGCTTATATTATAAACAGAGTACCAACTAAAGCAGCTACCAAAACACCTTATGAGCTTTGGATTGAGCGACAACTTAGTCTGAAGCATTTCCATATGTGGAATTGTCCAGCTGAGGCAAGACCTTATAAGCCAAATGAAAAAAAATTGGACTCCCGAACAGTAAGTAGTTATTTTATTGGTTATGCTGAAAGACCCAAGGGATATAAATTTTATGATCCCACATTAAAGACAATTTTTGAGACGGGAACTGCTACGTTCTTTGAGGATATTGAGTTTGGGGGGAAGAATAAGATTAAGAACTTTATCTTGGAGGAAGAATCGGTAACAATTTCAGAACCGATTCAAATAGTTACTTTTGATAAAGTAAGTTCGGAACCTCCACAAGGCATTGTTGATGAACCCCTTACTTAAGATGATTTGGTTGTTCATGAAGAACAAACTCAAGATCCTCAAGAACCTGTGCATCATGAGCTAATAACTTTGCAGAGATCCACTAGAGAAAGAAGAAGTGTTATTTCGGATGATTACATGGTATTTCTTTAGGAACATGAGGAAAATAATAATATAATGGAAGATGACCCAGTTAACTTCCGTCAAGCTATACAAGGTTCTAACTCTCAAAAATGGATTGAAGCAATGAAGGAGAAGTATAAGTTCATGCAATACAATAAGGTTTGGGAACTTGTCCCATTACCAAAATGTATGAAACTCATTTGGCTTCAAGATGAATATTATTGATGATTGTGTGTATCACAAGTTTAAAGGGAGACAAGTTTAGTCTCAATCAGTGTCCAAAGGAAAATTTGGAAATTGAGGAAATGCAACAGATTCCCCATGAATCCGCTATCGGGAGTTTGATATATTCCCAAATATATACGCATCCAGACATAACATACATAGTTGGGGTTCTAGGCAGATATTTAAGCAATCCAGGAATAGACCATTGAAAAGCAGCAAAAAGGGTCATAATATATTTAAAGAGAACAAAAGATTATATGCTCACATACAGGAAGTCAGACCAATTGGAGATCGCTGGGTTTTCTGACTCAGATTTTGCAGGATGTCAAGAATTTGTAGCATGCTATGAGGCATCAAATCATGGAATATGGCTGAGAAATTTTGTCACAGGGCTGCAAATTGTGAAAGGCATTGAAACACCACTTAAGTTATATTGTGACAATAAATCAACTATATTGTTAAGGAAAGAGTACAAAGTTGACAGATTTTCATAGAACACTTAAGGATAAACTCCATGATAGCATATCATCTAACTAAAGGACTTCCGCCCAAGGTCTTTCATGAGCATGTTGCTCACATGGGTGTTTTACAGTTTGAGGAATTTGTGGTTTAGTGAGAGTTAGTCACTTTCATACATTTTATGTTCTATGTTTAATTTCATATATGTATACATTGGTTTTTGGACATATTTGGTTATCTATAGATATGCGGTTTTTTCGTTCATTCATTACACTTTGTACATTAAGGATATTATATCGATCTCGATAAGTTAAAGTTTGGACCAGTTGAAAATAGACGTGTACAGATCACCTTCACGTAATTTTTCATGCTACACATTTCATGATGAATCCATGTCATTTGGTTATGTTAGGATGAGTAATCATTGTTGGTTTTAATTGCGATGATGCAATGAAAAACTGATTTGGTTCTATATCTTGATATGATTAATGGACAGGACTTTTGGAGTATGCTAAAGGAATATAATGACAATTTTGAACTCATAAATTCGAACACATTTGTAAGGTTGTAAGGACATATATATTTGTGACCAGTGGGAGATTGTTGGCAAAATTTGGGTCATGTATATATATGATACATAATTTAAATGTGTTAAGGTCATTATTTATTAAGTCAAATAATAAAGTGATCTGACTAAATTAAAGTTTTGGCTAAAAGCATATGTCATGAAAATAAAATTGTGTAGAGACTGAGCAATTTCTAATTTGATGAGGGGCCAAATTGGAAATACTAAAACTTAAGTAATTAACCTAATTCTGGTTATCTAAAGGGTCATGGTCCCCTTCTGGGAGCACACATACAGAACGTAAGTATCAGTCCCGTTCCTTTCTTTCTATCCCCACTAAGAGAGAAAATCAAGAAGGAAATACAGGTGCTCTTCAGATGGAAGACCACAAGATCAATATTGTACTCTACAAAGACATCATCATTATGGCTAATTCAGGTACGCTTTCGCATTCAGTTTACAACATGTTTATCGGTATGAAATTACGTTTATGTTTGATCGTTAGAATCAAAATCAGGATTATTATTATTATTATTATTATTATTATTATTATTATTAATTTTCCAACAGCTTGTGCATAGCTTTGAGATTCAATCAGGGAGGTTACATTGCAGCAGAATGTTTTATAAGATGGGGAACAATTATCATAAGAGATATAAGATGATAAAGGATATAAAACTGAAGTAAAGGGTAAATATTTAATGTAGGAGATGTTGGTGTAGCTGTCAGCAGATAAACTACAGTGATAATCGCTCAGATACTGTGGTTGTTGCCTTTGTCTAGTAGAACATCTTACAAGTACTGAAATCTCTTGGTTATTAGGTATATTAAGTGAAGAAATTTGTGGAATGAATTCAGGATTCAGTGAGTCAATGTTGGCTGGTGCAGGCTCTTAAACACGATTACAAGGTGCATGAATGTGTAAGTCAGTTAGAAGATGCACAATTTTGTAGCAGAGCTCTCATTCTCGATGAACTTAACTCACACTTAACCCAAAAATATCTTGAATTATAAAAGATTACAACTAGAAATTGGACAGATTAGCACAAGATATCGTACATCAAACAAATTTTCATTACTAAATCAGAAGATGAGAACTAATTCCCAAAATAATAGAGTCAAAAGTTGAAGGCATTGATTTTCGCTTTTATGGATTTTCCTCTTTACATATCATGTTATTTACCAGCATACATAACATAGTTGATAAATAGCTTCACCTCTTGATCATGTTGGTCATGATGCCCACCATGTCTATGAAAAGGGATTTTGTTGCTTTTTAATATTATACACATATAATATAATTTAAGAAGTTACAAATTTAGTTAAATTATATTGAGATAATGTTCAAAGTGTTTGACATGGAATGATAGTTTAACTTTGACAAATTTCTTTTAATAGCTTAGTTTTTTGTGTGTCTTACTTTTATCATATATAATGACACAAGTTTAGATTTTTTAAGCAAGACTTTACATTTGAGTATTATAGATGGAAATAATATAATTGAAAAACAAAAATCATTAAAATTAATCAGTTAGATTTATGAATAAAACTAATATAACGCTGTATATCAATGACAAAATAACATAAGAAAATAATTGCAACGCGCTTCTTAATTTTGATCAAATCGACAATCCAATCGGGTGTTACTATTTGCCTATGGAAAAAACCTGGGCTAATTTATAAATTTAAAGATTGTTACTTTAGAAATTGCTTTCACATATAAATTATCAGTTAAATGGCCTAATATGCAAATATTTTTAGGGGTTTTGTTTTAAATTTTATAGATAGAAAGAAATTTTCATTATCGATACTTAAATCTAATTCTAAGACATTTATAATATATGTATATATATATATATATATATATATATATATATATATATAAGATTTTAATTCACACTTCAATAGTTTTATCATAAAAATCTAAAGATTTATTCCAAATAAATAAATTAAGGTTAATTAGAGATTAGATTTATTTCCTATAATATTATTATCCACGCTAATTGTTGCGATTTTTTTTCTTTTACTGACACCAGTTAACTGTATAAACCTATACACCAACACCAATATAAAAAAAATCAATACAAATTAAGTGTAATGCATAATGAATATATGTAAATTACATTTAAAAAATAAATAAAACAAGTATAAAATTGCTGGGTCTTTCTCTTCTTTCTTTGATTTGTATACCTTACTACTCTTTCACAAAGATGAGAACATTGTGAACAAATAAAAATAGGCTTAAAGCCCAAAGACAAAGAGAAACAAGCAAACTGAGTTGAGGCCCAAAAGTTAATTTCCAACCTAGGAGCTAGGGTTGTTTGGCTTCTTCGTGTAATGGAAACGCTTTAAAAGCTGTCATTGACACACTCCTCACTCACTCAGCGCAACTTGGATTCAGGTATTATCGCATTAACCCTAATTCATTCGTTTCTCTACAGTGTGGAGAAGGTGAACATGATGCAAAGAGGATGAGTGATCATCGAACATTCCATTACGTGTTTGATATGATCAAATTTTCCATCGCTACGTTCTTTCTGATTCACCTTCATCCATCACACGCACGCCTCTTTTTGTTTTATTTTATTTATTTAATTAAATTTAATGTCAGTACGCGAAACGCACGAAATTATGAAACTGTGTTGTTGCAGAAGAACTAGGAATGGGCTGGATATGGGCCACGGCGGAGGATTTGGGCCGCAACAGGGCTCGTGTGCTGTCTCTGTATCGGCAAATTCTGCGGAGCCTGAATTCGCCGGCGTTGCCGCTTAGCTTCGCGGCGAGGCTGGCGAAGAAGGCGGAGGTGCGCGCAATGTTCTGGGTGGGTTCCGATGAACGCTCAGTGCACAACATCGCTGACCTAATCGATGCAGCAGAGTACTCTCTCTCCTTTCTCAAAAAAGGCCAACTCCCTCCTCGTTACATTACCTGAACAATACTGACATGCTTTTTTATTTCGAATGTATAGATACATTTTAGTGAAGTGAATGTATATGATTGTATAATTCCTCTCTGTAAATTACAAGGCTTTTGAGCAATCATTCATATTTTTCTCCTGCTGTGTGCATTATTCCTTGAACTGATATCTGAAAATTGTTGATGAGAAATGAACGGTTCTAAGATAGATTATTTGCCATAGTTATTCAGTAGGTGACAAATCACACTTTTTAATTTGTTGCTTTTACTTTAAATTTACATTTTCCTTTATGATTAAAACTTTTTGCGTTGATTGTGGTCGAGATCTTAAGAACAAGAAATGTAGGAGTCTTAATCGAATCTGTTTTAAGTTTTATGTTCTTCGATCTGTGAATCTTTCTAGGCTTTAAACTGGTTTTAGACGAACGTAATTTTAGGCTTTCCCATTAGCCTAGCTGAATAGGAGAAATTCAGGGAGAAAGGAATAATTTTAGTGTAAGATCGGAGAATTTAGAGCCAACTAAAGAATAGAAAACTAATTCTGTATGGGATATGCTTTCGGCTATATCGAATCATTCAAGATGTGGGAAATCCACACTTCTTGATGCAGTAGAAGGTGACAACAAACATGCTTATTATTATCCAGACTCATTCTTCATGTATTATAACCACTAGCTTTCCAAAGATGAAGCATGACAAACATTATTATACAACAATTATTCTAGGATTAATTAAGATAGTGTTGCCGGAGGATGGATATCAAACATAACTCAATAAATGGTCACATACAAAAACTGATTAATGGAAATAGAACATCAGTAGTAAAATTTCTCAAAACTACCAAGTTCTGAAAAAGAACTTGGAGATTCAAGTTTTAAAAGTAATTTTTTAATGTCTCTGAGAATTTTTTCTGTAATTCACTATTTAAATCCCAATTTGATGCCTTGCTTCTTGAATGGATAATTATGAAAAAATTGTAACGCGACTGAAATAATAAGTATAAGCGCCAAGTTTCACACTGCATTTATTCCTTCCTTTCAAACAACAAAACCCAAGTGGTTGACCCTACACAATCTAATCGAACATGAATCACCAACAAACCAAATTCATTTATTAAATTAGATCATATTCTGGATCTAATTTTAAAAATTTGTCTAACTTAATGCAAACTGGTGCACATATACATAATTTTATTTGCAAAATATTATCACTCTCCTCATATAAGTAGAAATTTATAAAATTGCTATACAATTTTGTTGTTGTAACACTGTATGTATACAACATATTTTTCTGGAAGAATCATACTGAAATCCATTTTAACATCTCTAACTACATGTATTTATTCAGTACAAACCAATGATTAATCTTTTAAAATCTATAATTTTTTATAACATTTGGGTTTAGGGTTTATACTCTCCTCGCTTAATTCATTATATCCCAAAACGGGTCATCACGCAAATCATTTTGGAAGAACCTAGAAGTTTCTTTTTTGGGGTTTGGGAAGGCTAACTGGAGGTAAGAGGAGGATGCGGCGATTGTGTGTCATATGCAACAGGAGCAATTTTAGATCTGAATCGCTGGTAAAGTTCGACTGCAACTACAACTTATATAGGAAACCCTCTTCAAGTTATTATTATTATTATAATAATAATAATTATTATTATTATTATTATTCACTTATGGTGATCGATTTCATTCACTAGTTAGTAAATCACAACCACATTGTACATTGAGCTTCAGATTGACATGAAAGAGGAGATAGGAGATAAGATTAAAAAAAATTATTTAAATTTATTTATTATTATTATTATTCAAGTGAATAATAAAAGATTAGATTAGAATTATTGTGTTAATTAATTTTTCATTTAATATATATATAGTATGTATTATATAATTGTGGAATTATATATTTGTGAATAATTGTTTATTGATTTTAATCTAATTTGATCTTATAAAGTTTATGACGATAATGATAAAATAAAAGTCAAAATTTTTATAACGACAAAAAATGATTAGATAAAAATCAAAAATTCTATAATGACGATAATAATTAAATAAAGGTTGAGAAATTCTATAACAATGGAATAAAGGTCAAAAATTTTATAGCAACAAACAACATGTATAAGGTTGAAAATTTTACAAGACAAACGACTAATATAAGATCGAAAATTCTATAACGACTAGTATAAGGTCGAAAATTCTACAACTACTAGTACAAGCTCAAAAATTCTACAGCAACCAGTATAAGGTCGAAAATTACAACGACTACTATATGATTGGAAATTCTTCAATGATCAATATAAGGTTGGAGATTCTATAGCAACAAAAACTATTTTGAAATCAAAAAATCGACAATGACAAACAATCACTTTGAAATAAAAAATTCTACAACGATAACCGACCATGTTCAAGGTTAGAAAAACTCAATATCGACAAGTAACAAAAGACAAACGACCACGTTAAAGGTCAGAAAACTCGACATCGATAAATGATCAACAAACAAGCATTTTAAGGTCAAAAATTTTATAGCGACGAACAACCATTATAAGATCAGAAATTCTACAACAACGAATAACCAATATAAGGTCCTGTAAGGTCGTCTACAAGTAAGTCCTAAAAGGTCGGTCCATAAATCGACCCTAAGAAGTCGGTCTACTAGTTGACCTTGTGAGGTTGGTCTACAAGTCGACCTTGTGAGGTCAAACCACAAGTCAACCCTAAGAGGTCAAAATATTTCACAATTGCTCATAATAGGTCGAGATATTCCATAATGACACATTCGTTATTTAGTCGAGCATATATCATCTTGAACATTTGGTCCTTATGATTCGTCCCAGTTATCTCATCCCAATTACACACATATGTAATTGACCGACCTATGTAATTAGATTAAAGACAAAACCTTATAACAATCAAGTACATAAAGTCTTAACGTCGTTTAACACTCGAGGTTAGGAGACTGTGTAGTGCCTAAATCCGACTCGTGTGTAGAGCCCACATTCCAACTTATTACACAATCGGTATAGTATTCAATAACTTGACCTATTACATAACTGGAATAAATTGAACATATAATAATGAGTTGTTGCATATGAATGCAGAATATAAAACCTAAATATCTACTCTCTAAACAAATACTTTAGAAGACTAGTATAAATATAAAATTATGACTAGGATTATAGGAGAAGATAAGTACTAATATTTTACAATAAAAATATATAATTTTTAAAAAAATTATAAAATTTTCAACTTTTAAATTTGTAAATATGATCATTATCATGAATATTATAGTTGGGATTACTTAACAATATAAATGTACAGTTTCTATTTATTGAAGGGAAATCCTTGAAGACATTCACAATGTGAGTGTATTATAACCAACCAGCCCACAATTGAAGTAGGCTCAAGAGAAACATTCACATACCCAATTGGTTGGAGGCCTATAGTGAGGAGAACCTGGGCTATATATACAGGTGTAAGGTAGGACCAATAAGACGGGTAGGGCTTATATGTAAGAAACCATGAATATGACTTCAGGATTTGGCTCCAGAGTACCACAGTAGAAGAATATAATGATCGGTTCATGTTGTTATTGGGATAATATTCCTGTAACTTATATTAATATTTATAATTTTAATTTTAAATTTAATGATTATTTTTTAAATTTTATAATTTTTACATTTAATAATTATTAAATATATTTGTTTAAATATTTAAAAAATTATTTTTTTTATCTTTTTATATTTTCATATTTATGTATTTTTGTAAGATCAATGATTAAAATCTATATTTTAGTGATTAAAAAGTATCGAATAATGATAAGAACAAATTCATTTGATAATAAGAAAAGAAAAAAAGAAAAGAAAAAAAATATATATGTAAAATAATATATACGAGTAGATGATCTATTTAATGAAGGTTAAACTACAAAGTAATATGATATAAGATTGTTAAATATGATATCGTATATTATTAGGAGGTTGTCTTATTTACATCAAATTGCCTAATTATTGTAGGTTGTCTTCAAAATATTAAATTGGTGTAGTTATCTTTTTGCAGGTAGTTGTTTCTTATTTTGCCGTTCTAAATTTTGTAATATAATAAATCTTGATCATTAGGTAATATTGCGTAAGTTTTTATTTTAAATGAAAAGAATAGTTTCTTTTCATTCTCGTGTTACAATCTTTTTTTTCTTGGTGTGAAACCAACACACTCATATATTAAAAGAGATATAAATAAAACTATCCTAATTTAACATGTTTTTATTTTCTTCCTATTCTAGTTTAACCTATAGTTGGTTTAATGTTATAGCATGTAACATGGGAGTAATGGGAGATGAAACATTCTTTACTTTTGCTCTCAATCAGCACTCTAGTATACAAAAGGGATTGGTGAGTAAAGATTGTTGAAGGTTTGGTTTTAAAGATAGCAAATATTAAGATTTTAATATCGTACAAGCACGATCAATACTTACAAAATTTCAAGAAATAAAAGAGAATGTGAGAAATAAAAGAGAGGGAAATTAAAATTTCCAAAACTATAATTTGATAATAAAATCTTTAGTTGTTAACTAAATTTTTTTAATAGATTAATTCAATAACCAAAATTTATAGAAAGTAAAATAATTCAGAATATGAAAATAAAAGTTGTGTTTTTAGTCTCATATTCCAAGTAGAATACAATATTCCATCACCTTTTCATACACCAATCTTACACAATCCTTTCACTTACCAATTTGGTATAACTAACTACTAATTAGATAGACAAGTTCAGTTTATAGGTTTGACTTGTTTAGTTTACAACAAATTTTTGTTTTTTATTTTCCCCTTCATAAGTATTCTAAATTATCCAACCATGTCTACAGAACTTTAAATTTGATTTAACATGCACTTGACCATTTTTTACTTATACTTGTAAACTTTTTGTGAAATTTTATAGAGTACGATCCCAAACATATTCACAATTTAACATTGAGCATGAAGTGTAACAAAGATTAGTGTAAAATAGTTGAAGTATTTAAGCTCTAATTTATAAAGATTGTCCACATTACCTACTGGTTATAACTTACGAATCTACAGGTTAATTCACTAAGTTGTTAGTTATATGTTTGAAAAGTTATTTTTGTTTCTTTCTATTTTCACCTAACTCTCTTGCCATTCATAGTTTTTCAAAACAATTTAAATGACCCAAGTTAATGTGTTTTTTTTTTTTACAGAAGACAAAGGTTGAGAAACAACTACCAGGTAGATGGGAATGTGAGAATCCACAACACAACTCATTTCACTTACATGCACTACTTTTTATCTTCAACCATATAGATTTGGTTAATATTTTTTTTAAGATAATTCTAATAATGAATAGAAGGATTATGAAATAATTAAAACCTTTTCCTTTTCTTTTTATGACAGAAACACTGATAAATTATACTTTAAATTTAATTTAATTGTAATCAATCAATAAAGTATTTTTTAACTCCCAATTATAAAATTCCATATTTAAATATGAATCATGTTTAAAATAAATAACGTTAATTAAAAAATTGTTTTTATCAAAATGAAATAGAAACAGATTCTTATTAATAAATTACTGTTTAGAATACACACTTGTTGACTCTTATTAACAAGCTTTTTATTATTTTGGATAAAATTTATTAAAAATTACAAAATTTGACTAGTTCTGAATTTGTTTATATTTAAAAGTGAATTTCACCATTTTTTTAAATAATATAAAGAGAATATGTCATCAACATTTCTCATTTACTTTCTTCTTAAAAACATATGAATTATTAGGGATAATTGTTTAAGAATAAAATTAAATATTTTATTATACATTTTTTTATAAATTGTTTAAAATTTGATTAAAGTTACTTATATAAATAATTTTTTTCTAATTTTAAATAATTTTTTCTGCAATTAAGATATAAAACTCATGATAAAATATATATTTTTTATTCCTTGTTATTAATTTTCCTGTTCTAAAAAATAGTCCGGAACTTTAAGATGGTATTTAATCTGTCTTTAGTTTATATATTTATTGATAATTGAAAAAAAAAATCAACATCATAATTCATCATGTTTTATTTGTTCGAAGTTTTATGAAAACAAATGCGAAAATAACATGCAAAATTATGAATTCAAATTAGGACATGATAATTATTTTAATCAAGATTAACTATCATGTTATATTTTAATGTTAATTATAATACTACTATATTAATGTGTTTATTGTATGTTTATATATATATATATATAGTTAAATCCTTAGATACACAAGAAGAGTATTGATTATTTTTAATTTTTTGATAAATTTATTTAATTTATATCTTAATTTTTTTAAAATTTATTTATGTATATTCTTATTTCTATAATTTTTACCTATTCATAATTATCTATATTTAAAAAAAAACAGAGAATTTAAACAAAATAATATAGTGATAACATAGAAATTTAAATAAAATATCGTATTAACAAAACAAAAATAAGTGTAAAAAATTTATTTATTTATATCACTATGATAAAAATAAAACAGAAAAAAAAAACCATTTATACTTTTTAATGAAAAAATAGATAAAATAAAATAAAATAAAATTAAATATTACCACTGAGGACCATGTCGTTTGACTATAATAAATAAAAAAAATCATATTATAATTAACCTAAAGAAAAAAATTATTATTTTTACTTAAAAACCTATATAGAAAATAGTTAAAAAATAAAGAAAATAAAATTAGTTAAAAAAATTATAAAAAGATAAAAAGTTGCATTTCTTATTTTATATTTTTCTATGAGTGAAAAGAAGTAACTAATATTTTTTATTTTTTTAATTTACCTATATAATTCATCTCTCTTAATTATTTAATATTATTTTACTTTTTTCTATATTTGAATGAAAAAAAATGAATAATTAATAATTTTAATATGTGGACACAGTTATATAAATTGTTCTTTAAATAGGACTTACAAAGAATGACACATTTAAAATGACGTTTCATATTCATTCCCAATTAAAAAAAATAAAATTGAACGCTAAAATTTTAATTAAAATAAAACAAATTTACATAATAACTAGGATGACATTTTATCACATTACAAATATTTTAAAATTTCGCTGAATATTTCTCGTTCGTATGAATAAATTCATTTAAAATTCTATTTAATTTAATTTTCTTTTAAGTCATACTTCAAATACTCAAAATTCTCCTTCTTCGTAGATCTAAATCAAATGAATATTTAATAAAATTTATATTAAATTATTATTTGAAATTAATTCAAACTCTGCTCAGCTTTTACCGATAATTAAGTATATTCAATATTTATTATTTTACTCTCTCATTTTAATTAGTTTTTCTAAATACGATATTATTTGGGTTAAGTAATCCAACGAGATTATATTAAGTTTTATTTGTATTTAGGTCAAATATAACTCAATATGTAGGTGATGAATAGTACTAATCCGAAACTACTTAATTTACTTTGGATTAAAATAAACAAATAATATTAAAATATTTAATAAAAAATATATTAATGATTTAATTTATTCAATTATATATTAGTTAAGTATATTTTTAAAAGATTAAATCAGTTAAATGTTAAATAATATAGTTTATTTTTATAAGAATTATTTAACAAAAAATAAATTTAAAGAATATGTGACCTTATTAAATTAATTCAATTTAATTCAAATGAACTTATATTAAATTTAAAAATAGACTGACTCAACCGATTCAACCAATATTTTATTAGAACAAGTGACGAGTATGATAAAAAAAAACTATCCTCTATTCTACTTAAAATAAAACAAAATTAAATAAAATGAATTAATTATTATTTTTGTTTATATGATAGTGTAATAGAAAATATTTCAAAAAATATTAAGATAATATTGTAAAATAAATAAGAAATACCTGAATTTCAAGTTTTACGTCTTCTACTTACGTTGGATTAATAATATTGCATCATACAAAAAAAAAATGTAAGCTATTGGAAGAAAATAAACTTCTCATTTTAGTAGGGATAGTTTTATTTTATAATTGAATTATTTTATAAATAAGATAATTATATTTAATACATAAATTATAAATAAAATATAAAAGTTGAGTGTGGTGGGTTTCATTTAATAATTGTTGTGAGGTGTCGAATTATAGAGAAATTAATACTTACAAAATTTTTAAGTAAAAATAAACCATGTGTACCTTATCAGATCCAGTTAAGTACCAACAAAGAAGGATTTTTAGAATGTAAATGTTTTTATAAATGTCATTTAAAATTGTTAAACAACTTTTTATTAACCACTTAACAAGAGAGACGATGAAAAAAAAAAGGAGTACATATATAAATTACAAATACACGATACAATGAAAAAAAAAAAAAAAGTACAATCCAAGAATCCTAAACAAAAAGAACAAAGTCCAAATCAAATCAAATCAAACACCCATGCAAAGTACAAATCATGTTGAAACTAAAATTATTTTTGACCATTAGTTCAAACCACAAGTCTCGTTCATTGGCCACACCAACAACCTAATCCAACCCAACAAACCCACACAACAAAAAACCAAGCAAAACTCCCAAACCCACAGTCACACCAACCCTCCCTGAGGATGATTTGTCCGACGGAGGCAGCACCGGAGAGGTCAATCCGGTTGCCGGAACAGTCTGCGGCGGCATGGTGCTTGTCTGCGGTGGCAGGATGCTTGCCGGCGGCGGCACAGGCTTAGGAAGAGGTTGTCTCACAGCCATGACAAGAACAACGAGTTTTTGACCACTTTTGCAGTTGTCAAGGTTGCCACTTACGAAGTAAAAGAGACCCGAATTGGAAAGTGGGAAAATTGAATCTCCATCGTCCATTTTTTGAATGGGGGTGTTGATGTTGCATGAATCAAAATCCTCCTTCTTCACCACCACAACTGAATCAATGCCTTTGTTGTACTTGAAATCTGCATGCATGTAACATTGCAACCCCAAGTTAAAACAGTGAGAATTAATGTTCCACTAACATATGTAACCCTCAATAGATTATACTACTTTTGTGTTAAAAATTTAATTTTTTAAGAAAAAAATACACAAGCTACCAGTGTCTTTGGACACTCACCTGTCAGTTCACACCAGAAAGAGAAAAAAAAAATGAAAGAGAAATAACTGAATGTAATATATATAAATATGTTGTAACAGTGGGTCATGATTGAAACAGAATTTAGAACCAGATTTTGTATAATATAATATGCGTTTTTTAACACAGATTCACGCAGTTAGATTAGATGAAAATCAAATGACTCAGATTTGAAAGTTTTATCAAGGTATAATAATGAGTCATTCGATCTGCATGTCTTTTTCCAGTTGTTGGTTGTGTAAATATCTGAAAAAACAAATCACAGAAACTCTGATGATGATGATGACAGAAGTTTTTGTTTGAAAAGAAACGTCTCTATCTAGTTTTTCTGAAGTGTGAGAAGTGAGAAAGAAATAAGAAATCGTGAAAAAATTTCAATTTTTTTCCAAAAAAGAGGGATAACATTTCGATCTAATGAAACTTAATATGAATGTTGAGAAGAAGATTGGACTCACGGAGAGTGTCATTGACTTGAAATCTGTTTCTCTGAGCCCAGTGATTGTAGTCTTCAGAGGGCTTCACCACCCACCCTTCTCTCCCACCAACATCATATTGCCTTGCCTCAGCTTGAAACTTAGTTGATGACCCAACAAGAAGCAACATCGGAATCATCAAAAACAAAAGACCCAGAGACGCCATTTGAAACAATGTCTCACAAAAATGATCAATTGAAAGAGAGAGAGTGTGTGAAAGGTGATGTGATAGTAATGTATGTATATATAGTGGGGGATTGAGACGAGAAGAGGTAACCGTTGGGGATTAGAGCATGCAAAATGCTTTGATGTGTAAGGTATTTGCTGGCATTATATAGAAGAAGAGTGTGTTAAAGAAAAAGTTAACGTTTTTGAGAATTTGTGTTGTGTGGTTGATTTGGAGCATGCAGTACTACGTCTACACTTGGCGACATGCAACAGATACAACGGTAATGTACACTTCTTTCACTTTTTATTTTTATTTCAAAAGATAATGATCATAAATAATATAATAATAAAAAAAATGAATATGTGGTTATATAAGTACATATTTGACCTTCGGATATCATCGTAAGGTGTAAGATTGAAAGAGAAAAGGAACGTGTTATAGAATAATTATATCAGTTTTGTAAGTTAGGTTTAGAGAAACTTTTTGCAAATAATTCGATTAATTATATATTGAAAACGTATTTATCATGTAGATTTTATTTGAATTACGTTAAACTATTTTTTATACAATTTGTAAGTTGTTTTTATTAACTTTTATAATAAGTTTATTAAAAAAAGTTAAATAAAACAGTTTATAGATATATTACTATTTTTAAAAGTTTTCTCACACATTTATATAAGTATCTATATTTCATAAGATATGGTGAAATAAGCTCTAAGCTAGTTGTTAGAGAATCACTTTTACTTTGGTCCGTTCACATAAACGTTTTATGATTTTTTTTTAATATAAGATAAATGTTTTGTAATTTAAATAATAATAAAAAAAGTGTTGGAGTAAGATAAGTATGAAGGAATCGAATTTTTTTATCAAAACTTTTTTCTTCTTAAAAAGAGATTAAACATTTTTTGTTTTAAAAAAAGAAAAACACTTGTTTAACGCACACTAAGTATTATATTCAATTATTAATTCGTTTCAACTACCAAAATTATATTCAATTTTTGTAAACGTCCAAATTCTATTGCATTTAAGAATTGTTTTTATTTCTTCACTTAAAAATCTTTTCAAGTATTTCTTTTTTACCTATTTTTTCAAAATTTTGTCGCACAAGAATGTTAAAAAGAATATTGAGAGTGGAAAAAGACCAATAATCAATTATATATATAATTCGATTATGTAAAAAAATGATTGTGTTTATGAGTTCTTTTTTCAATTAAAATAATATTTATAAAAAAAAGTAACAAAGAAAAAAAATGTTACTGTTTCGTAGGATTTAATATATTTAAATTATTAAAAGAATAACGTTAATAATACAAAATGATTACATTGTCTCACCTAATAAACAAATAACTATTTTGTTTTTAAATAATTCTATTATAGGTTAAAAAAAACGCAGTAAGATTGGAGAAAAACGGTACCAGACGAAAATCACTTTGGCGGTTAACAATTGCGGTTCTGAAGAACGAAAATTCTGTCATCAAAATTCAAACTGTGCGCAGCAACAGCAACAGCGGCAGGAACAAAACCCTGTTCAACCCATGTCTCTGCAGGCTCTGAAGGAAACTCTGCGACCTTGTTCAACCCTAAAAACCTCTTCCAATTCCTCTTCTTCAATTACCCAAACACAGCGTAGTTCAATTCTTCGCGAATACGATTCCCTCTTCCCAATCCATAGAAAACCTCCTAAATCCTCTCTTTCCCACCAGCTTCGCCGCCTTAACGACTCACTGTCCCAATCACACTCCACAACGCAAGAAGACGAAAAAGAAGAACTTCTACAAGAAGAAGAACCTGAGATAGAAAGAGCGAAATTTGCTTCAGTTAAATTGCCACAGTTTCAATTTGATCACACTGGACCCTTCGAGCCTCTCGTCCTGTCTTCGCATGGAGAGTCTCCTCTGGTTGAGGTCGTTAATTCCTCTTTCTCTGTAGTTTGTATTGAGTGAATTCGGAATTAACCTTTGGATGAAGATCTGACAACTCATATTACCCGCTTCTCGTCTGATTTTCATTCAGTGGTGTCGATTTATGACTGTGAATGTGAATGCCTGCTTTCCTCTAGTTAAGTCAGTAGAATGATTGCATTTTTTTAAGATAACTATGATATTGATAGGAAGTGTGTATCAACTTAAAAGCAATTCGTACTAATAAAAGATACCCAACAGATATATGTACCCAGTACCCAAAATTGAGGCAGATAATGAGATTATCCTGTACTCCCTAAAGAATTAAAATAGGCAATGCAGGACTTCCTCACACCTCCCGTATGCCTGCCAACAAGCGAGCATACTAGAATAGGCATGACCAAGATGAGTTATAGGGTATGATATACCAGGACAAGTTTTAACTTAAAACTAATGGAAATATATATATATATATATATATATATATATATATATATATATATATATATATATATATATATATATATATATTTCTTGAAAACTTGCATCAGATATGAAACTTTGAGTATTCAAAAATGTTTTTGTTATATATATTTCTTGAAAACTTGCATCAGATATGAAACTTTGAGTATTCAAATATGTTTTTGTTATATATATATATATATATATATATATATGGTTATGATATGCATGGTGAACCTGACTCGTCACCTTTGGTGGAGACCTTGTCTTTACGATATCTAATAAAACCGAGACCATGCTTAAGATGGCTCACTCGGACCAATCATTTGTTGGTCATTGATTGCATTTATACACAGGATGATTGGATATCATTTGAAAATGAAAAATAAAATGATATTCATGGTACTGAATAGTGAATAGATTGCGCAATGGTTGTGAATTTATTGAACGATGTGTTTTTTATAGAAATTCGTGCTCCATTAGGAGATGTTTAGGTTTGCAAATTAAATGTTTGATAGATGATGTAAGTGCTGAAATTTGAAGATTGAGTGTTGTTGTGAGCTGTTATTTGCTGTTTCAGGTTCCTGCATCTATAAACTGTAGACTGCTTGAACATCAAAGAGAGGGTGTGAAGTTTTTGTATGGTTTGTACAAGAACAATCATGGAGGCATGCTTGGAGATGACATGTGAGTTGCAAATTATATCCTCTTCCTATCGCTCTCTGGTCCCTATTGCCTTGTGTTGTCTTTCTGTCTAGCTGAAATTTTATGCTTTTATTATTTTGGTACTCCCGTCAGTTATTCTAGTGTTATACATGTATATATGACGGATATATGTTGTGTGTGTCTGCAACAAATCGGTACGTTCTATAATTCTCAATCTCAAGCACATGCACATGACTTATATTTTTGTGTAATTTTGAAAGTTCTAGTGGATGGAGAATTATAGCACTGCGAGCTCCATCTCTTTCCGGTTCTACTTGAGCCCTATGAATTTGTGGATTTCTTTTATTTTTTTTCGTCTATGTTATCTGTTGATGTTTTATATTTCTGTTTTTGCGAAATTTGTTTCATTTCATGACTTTTAGCAGTAAATAATTACTAAGTTGAAGTTCCTTTTTGCAATATTGAAATGTGTAACAGGGGTCTTGGGAAGACCATTCAAGCAATAGCATTTCTTGCTGCTGTCTTTGGTAAAGAAGGACATTCTACTCTAAATGAAAACCATATAGAGAAAAGAAACCCTGCATTAATAATTTGCCCAACTTCTGTTATCCACAACTGGGAGAGTGAATTCTCTAAGTGGTCGAACTTCAGTGTTTCCATTTATCATGGTGCAAACCGGGATCTGATATTTGATAAATTGGAAGCAAATGGAGTGGAGATACTTATTACCAGTTTTGACACGTTCAGGATTCATGGAAGTTCCTTGTCAGATGTCAAATGGAATGTTGTGATTATCGATGAGGCTCATCGACTTAAGAATGAGAAATCAAAACTATATAAAGCATGTTCAGAAATTAAAACCCTAAGACGCTATGGTCTCACTGGGACTATAATGCAAAATAAGATAATGGAATTGTTCAATCTCTTTGACTGGGTTTCACCTGGATCCCTTGGAACACGGGAACACTTTCGTGACTTCTATGATGAACCCCTTAAGCATGGCCAGAGGTCAACTGCTCCTGATAGGTTTGTACAAATTGCTAATAAGAGAAAACAACACCTTGTGGAAGTTCTTGATAAATATATGTTGAGAAGGACAAAGGAAGAGACCATTGGGCATCTTATGATGGGGAAGGAAGATAACATTGTGTTTTGTGCAATGAGTGATGTGCAAAAACGTGTTTACAGAAGAATGTTACAGCTTCCTGACATTCAATGCCTTATAAATAAGAACCTGCCTTGTAGTTGTGGTAGCCCTCTTACTCAAGTTGAATGTTGCAAGAGGATAGTGCCAGATGGAGTTATTTGGCCTTATCTGCATAGAGATAATCCTGATGGCTGTGATTCATGCCCCTTTTGCCTTGTCCTTCCATGCCTTGTCAAGCTCCAACAGGTGAACTGAGATCTTTGAAATTTCTGTCTCTATTTTTCCTTATAACGTCCTTGCAAAATATATTGGCAAGAACTTTGTTCATAGCTCTGGAAATCTGTTGCAACTTAATTCAGTTGTAGGAGAGTCTGCTTGTAGGAAAACATTTATTCAACTCAATAATTGCGACAGGGAAGAGAAGGAATGACGAGCTTCATGCACAAAAAAATGTGTTTGTTATCTATAAAGATAACAGTAGATGGTCTGATTATTACAAAGATGTGAATATTCAATCTGAAAAGGGTTTGCAATAAATTTAAATATTGAAAGTGAAACTCAAGCACTCTTCATTACATGCTGGTGAATGTTGCTCATTGTTGAAAGCACCATACTGCTATTGACTTTGTGTTTCATAATTATAAAAATAGTTTCCTTGTTATCTTTTGCATACATACAGGTAATTATTGAACGCCATTCTAGATCTGGTTTATCAAGATTCTCTATTTTTGACATTTGATTATATTGAATTACATATTCTGTTGAGAAATTAATTTATCCAGGAGTTTTTATATAAAAGCAGCTTTCAAAATTAATGCTTA